TTTTAAAATAAACAACATAATTAGCATTGGAAAGTCAATTGGACACCGGTACAGTGTGATATACAAAGCTTGCCCGACAGACAAAAACACTGGACTCGGACGTCGGGCAATGGGTTATTTCCACCCCTGTCTTTATGCTACCATTTCAAGGGAGGCAAAAACAGTTTACATTTTCAAAGAGCATTCAACTAAAAATGAATTATGAAAGTTTGATGGTGTCGTTGCATAATGACATGGTGTTGTTCATTGCAGCTGTGGTGGTTGGCGGTATCGACATGATGACACAAGCACTGATGTTAGCGAAGAAACCACATGTTATCATAGGTAATGGCTGCTGTCTTATCCCTGTATAGTCCAGGAGATAAGGTCCATTTATTTACCCCGAGAGGCCAAAAGGTTTGAACATTGGTTCCTATGGAAAAATGTCTGAATTTTCAGAATATGTAAGTCTTACACATTGAAGATTTTTTTTTGCTTTGGCGAAGGTGTATGTTTTGTGTATGAAATACATGCCTTCTGTATCAAACATGGATGATGATGATGACTTAAAATTGAATTTTACATGTTGGATGTGTCAGATTATAAGTGAACATATTTTGGATGTTTGATGTCAGTAACACTGAACGATGTTGTAATTCAGTGTTTCCCTCATCATGATAACTAGGATCCTCATTCAATTCAGTTTTCTCTTTTGTCAGTCTATGCTTAAATTTTGTACATCATGGACATGTTGTCAACAGAATTGTGAATGGGGTATTATCGTTCAGATTTTGTATTTGCACAAATTGATAATATTGCTGGGAGTGAGTTTAAAACATCCTGATTCAAATTGGAAATAACTAAAAAATAGTGATGTTGAATTCTGTACTTTCATATACAGTGCACTCTGTCAATATCGGCCTCTGTAAACACCGGCATTCTGTCTACATCGGCACAAAGTTTCAGTCCCGGCAGAAATGCACTTAATTATCATTTAAAACATCTGTAAACATCGGCATCTGTCTACTCAGGATACCGGCATTGTTTTCCAGTCCCAAAGAACAAGTTGTTATGAAAACGAATCTGTAAAAACCGGCACATGAAAGACGGCGCAACCCTTTGATGCAATTAGGTCCTAATGATGTAACAACACAATTAGCGGTTACTCCCGAGATTATTCAGAAACGGGAAGTGTCAATCAGTTTCTTGTTAATTAGTGAGTGGCACGTGTCACTTACATAGAGTAATTAACTCTTTCAACACCAGTCAACCAGAGGCCGATAATATATGATCAGTTGAAATTTAATAAGTGTTTTCAGACATTTTTATTTGAATGAATCAACATGAATGTGCATTCAGACACTGCCTTGTTTCTTATTCAAACATCTTGTTAATGCTAAAGTGACATCCCCACACGACAGCAAACTTCCGTGTGCTGGAATATTGCTAAAAGGCGCCATAAGCGAACATCCTAGCTAAACCGACACTCTGTCAAAACCAGCATTTTTATTTGGTCCCGACTGATGCCGGTATTGACGGAGTACACTGTAATTTAAACACTCCTCACTGGAAATGTTAGGAAACATGCCTTCCACATGACTAGTATGCAAAACGACATACATGGCATCAGTTCGGGTAATGTTGAAACAGTAGTGTTGCTGACAGTTGAAGATGATCCAAGTTTCTGTTGTCACTTTAAGCTACCCCGGGACGACTGGTCGACCATCTAGAAAACACAAAGGGCTTCAATCTACGTAATCTGAAATACCTGGTGAGTATGTGTGCCTGTATGGATACAGTGTCTGATGGTTCCAGCAAATTTGTCTGTAACTGTAGCAGCTGTCCTAATCAAGGAAACAATCTTTGTAGTTTTCATGTTTTTCTTGCTTATATTTCTAATAGTTAACCCAGGTGGTGATTCAGGGTCAGTGCAGACATTTCAGGATGTCCCTAAAAGTGACTCACATGGGGACCAGGTGTTCACACAGTGACTGAGCTTATTATGTGTCATTGTACCTCGATGATGTATTATGTTGATCATACTGCCATCTTGTTTGTCTGATCAATTCACAGTTGCTTCTGTGATACAGCTCACATTAGACCCGAAGTTCAATGTGTGAAGCCTATTTCTGGTGTCTCACGTCATGGTTTTACTGGAATATAGCTCAAAAGGTTGTAAAAAAAATACTCACTTAATTCTTTGACACTTGTGTTTCTTTTCAGGTGATGGATGAGGCCGACAGGATCCTCAACATGGATTTTGAGCAGGAGGTAAGTCCTGCTGCTCAGTGTTGATTGAGTGAGTGAGTGAGTGAGTTTAGTTTTACGCCACATTCAGCAATATTCCATGGCGGTGGTCTGTATAAAAATCAAGCCTGGACCAGACAATTCAGTGATCAACAGCATTAGCATCGATCTACCGAGTGTGGCAGAAAGTTTCAAGCCTAACTATTTGTATTAAGTACAACACTGTTTGAATCAAATACCGAATGCAGATTCTAAATGATTCTTCCAGGATATATTGAGGGTATTGAAACTGTTTCCAATGGAGAGCCCTAGGGAGTTGTGTGAGTTATTCAAGGTGCACACTGTTGAGTTGTCACTGAATGGTCACCATGGCAGTTAACATGCTGTGTAGTCAGTATAAAGCTATACATGTATTACTTACAGATTTGATAGTAAAAGTGAAACAGTGTGCAGGGTGAGGATTCACATGTCAAGTTAAGCACAGTCAAATTTATTGGTCTCTATGCTGAAAACACAGTACCCATGGTAATCCCCACTCCACCATTTTCATTGATGTTAGTGAATTGTCATGGGTGTTCTTATGTTTAGAGTAGGTCGTCATGTGTTTAAGACAGTTATTTCATCAAAAACATTCATTTCCCATAATTTAAAGCCCCTCCAGCTATCGTTTCTTGTATACTCTCATGGCTTCTTCTGTCGTGGTGTATTGTCTAACACTTCAGATAAATCGAGTCAACTCTGAATATATCTCCTGTATTTGTATAAATCAAAACTAGAATCAAGTATTTTCCCAGGACATAGAAGAATTAATTTAAGCAGCTGTGTATGGTACAGTGTTCGAAATAGCCACTGGCCTGCTAGCTCGTGACCTGATAAAAATATTCATTATGTGAGCAGCATAATTTAGGGCTCAATTTAAGAGATGTTAACCTACCTGCACCAGGTGCATCCTACAAGAGAAGCCTAGTTGCATCAGCCAAATTCTCATTGCACCGCTTTTATTGGAATATGTAATGAAAGAAATATGCTGTAATTTTTAGCATTGCGTGTGGCTGGATTTACGTTTGTCTCTAATTTACGTTTTAATTCATCATCTGTAGTTATATTCCCCAGCGTTGAAATGCCACATGCGTCGGCAATGTCAATGGATTCACTCTTGTTCATATTGGCATGTTTCTCAGTTTCCAAGTTTTGTTTACCACTTTTGTCAGCTACTTCACTTGATTTCTTGGTTATGCAACGTTTAGAAGAAAAAGGAGCTGACATAATTATGCTTATGATGTTAGATTTATCAATATATTTCTCAAAAACTGACTTGCACTTGTGCAACTTAGACTAATAACTAGGTTGCACTTTCTAATATTGGGATACACCAGTGCAAGTATCAAAGCACTAAATTGAGCCCTGTAATTATGAAACTTGTGTCTACACTCGAATTTCGGGCTAGTGAATTATTTTGTGGGCAAGTAACTTTCAGGCATAGTTGAAGTTTATAGCCGACTGGCTAGCAAAATTTGGAAACTATTTCTCATACTGGCATGGTATTGTGTGTATGTTGCCCATTGTTTACCTGCTGTTGGGTGTAAGTGATCTCGCTGTTGGTTCCAGGTAGACAAGATCTTGAAGGTCATCCCAAGAGAAAGGAACACCTACCTGTATTCTGCCACGATGACCAAGAAGGTGGGATTGTGCTTTACGCGAGACAGGAACATGAAGTTTACTTATCTGATTGAAGATTAATAGAATAACCAATGAACTCCGAAGAACTACAGAGTTTTTGTTGGCAGGGGACTTACAGCATTCGCTTATGTCCGATTCATAATTCCTTGTAGTTCCCGGGTTATTTTATATGCATGTATCAATGATTGGTATTTTAAGGGAGAAATGAAGAAAAAAACCATGCAATGGCTGCCCGATGTAGAAACTTCTCTGAAGGTAGCATATTAATCAAATGACTATGTGATCAATTCTTCATGGACAAATGATGAAGTATTTTACTAATAATCATGTGCAAGTATCAGGAGTTTTTCTCTGTTGTAGCAACTATTCAGCAGTAGAATCTTGAATGCTGCAACAACTGTTAAAACCTAACTGTCTCGCTCACATTGTGCAGCATCATCAGAAACAAGATGTTTGCAGTCTCATTGTTAGCAGTTTTATTGTTGTACATAAATACCTCATCCTGTTTTAGTCAAATTTCTTATAAACACTTGGTATTGTTAAATTATGGCAATCTCACTGCAAATGGAATCAACTGGGTGTTTGACATGATAATGCTGTTCGACTACAAATAAAAGAGGTACAAGTGAAAGAAAGAAAAAATAGTGGCTCAGAAATGTTTGGACAAGCGCCATATGTTGTCAAAGTTTTACTACAAAGACAGTTGTCTCCCCTTTATCCAGGTTCAAAAACTGCAGAGGGCGTCACTAAGGAATCCAGTAAAGGTGGAAGTATCATCAAAGTACCAGACAGTCGAAAAACTGCAGCAGTTTTACATCTTTCTGCCTGTCAAGTATAAGGTGGGAAATAGCTAATTTGTAAACTTATCCTATCTCACGGTATGCACCATGTCTCTTTTCTACAACCATGTGTGGAAACGTGCTGTCAGCTAAGTTGAGTCAAATTTAACTGGCCTCTGACCCGCCCTGACCTCTACCCTCACCCCGACATAAACGCCTGTCAATCATCCACCAAAGGGTGCGGCTCGCCCAAATGATCACATGACCACCTCTACCTGTTATTTTCTTTCTTGTCGCCACGATGTGTGGACGTGTGTTTGTCTATAAGAGAGTTTGATTGTGTTTCTACAATGGGAAAATCGAATCTTTATGGTTCTAATAAACATTGCGATAACTGCAACAGTAATTTCTCAGACCCACATAACCTATGTGTTGACTGTTTAGGCCGGTGTGATTGGTCTAGACGTTGCACTTTGTGTGCAAACTGTGACGACGATGCGTTTTCAGAATATCGCCGGGTAGCTTGTAGACAGAGATTGTCGGAATCCATCTGAGGGTCTGAGTAGTAAACGTCCTAAGTTAGATCGCCGTTTGATATCTGCAGTACGACGTTCGAAGTCGAAGTCTCCTAATGAAGATTTCTTAGAGAGGTTCCTACCTCAGTGAAAATCTGCGTCACTATTCCGTCCGCATTCTTATAGCCTCATTACTCTAGAAGATTCTTCACCACCACGAGTTGTTGTGTTATCTACGTCTGGTATACATCCCGGCTGTCTTTGGTGGTGAATGTTCCTCAGCGCCTTTACGTTTCGGAGGTGGGGACTACTCATGCGGCGCATATTGTGATTCCTAACATTACATCACAAGTGACGTTAACTTCCAGTTCGACACTTACATCAGGAATTACCTACGTTTAGAGCGCCACTTGTCACTGATTCCACATGTTTGCTCAGAGCGTCGCTTACTTCCAGTTCGGGGCTTTCTACCAGTGTGCCGCTTACTTTTGAAGCGATGCTTACTTTTGAAGCGACGCTTACATCAGGACAGTTATCTACGATTAGAGCACCGACTGTCACGGATCCCACGTGTTTGGTCAGAGCGCCACTTACTTCCAGTTCGGCGCTTTCCACCAGTGCGCCGCTTACTTTTGAAGCAGTGCTTACATCAGGACAGTTATCTACGATTAGAGCGCCGATTGTCACGGATCCCATATGTTTGGTCAGAGCGCCGCTTACTTCCAGTTCGACGCTCTTGTTTGGTTCCGGTTCGACGCTTACTCCCGGTTCGGCTCTTCCTCCCAGTGTTCCTGGTTCGGCGCTTCTCTCAGTGTTCCTGGTTCGGCGCTTCTCCCAGTGTTCCTGGTTCCGAGCTTACTCCCAGTTCGGCGCTTCCTCCCAGTGTTACTGGCTTGGTGCTTCCTCCTGCCGCTCCCAGTTCGGCGTTTCCTCCTGGACTCCTGGTTCGGCACTTACTCATATTGACTTTGGTTTGACGCTTGCTCCCAGTGTTCCCGGCTCGGCGCTTCATCACGGGGCTTTTAGTTCAGTTCTTACTCACAGTCTTCCTGGTTCAGCGCTTACCTACAGTATTACCGGTTCAACACTTACTCCTGGGGTTCCTGGTTCGACGCTCACTCATGGTGCTCCAGGTTCAGCGCTTACTCATGGTTTTCCCGGTTCTGTGGTGCCTCATAGTTTATTGGCTTCTGTATTGACTCATGGTACAACGCTTCCTCAGGTTTCAGCGCTTACTGCCAGGTGTCGACTTCAGTGCTAGGTCCACTCAGTTCAGCTCTGGAGTTCAATGCATGAGATCCTATGTCTAGGCTTTCTGTTTAGTTCCCAACAACGTGATATTATCATCCACTGGAAGGGGGACTTAATCTTCCTAAAGTTACCAAAAGCCTTATCCAGAGACACTGCCAATTGAGTGATACACGGTCACAGTGGGAACGTGATGGAACCAAAATTACCTGGTTTCATATCAAAATGGATAATAAATCCCCCGACGAAGTACTACACTGTAAATGGAGGTTATCGGCAATCCTGACGAGTAGTTAAGGTGTGTCAACAACATCCATGCTACCATCCGATTGGGACGTACCATCCGAAGATAGAGAGACGCCGTTGACAGCACTTAGCTGACAGCACGTTTCCACACATGGTCGTAGAGGAGAGAGATGGTGCATACTGTGAGATAGGATAAGTATATAAATATACAATTTACCGGGTATTATTAAATTTTCAATTTTGATATGTGGTTGATATTTTAAGTTTAATAGTGATATTCTTGGTGTTCTGGAAGTTTGTGTCTGTGAAACCTTTATTTAAAACTTTAGCCACATCTGTTGTTATTTATGTCAGTTGTCATAAATTATTTGATAAGGTTTTGTTTTTAATGGCTTTTTTATCTGTTGTTATTTATGTCAGTTGTCATTATTATTTGATAATGTTTTGGTTTTAATGGCTTCTGCATCTTTACCAAATAAATCAGTCAGGGATGTATCTGGACCTAATTAGAGGACAAACTGGAATTTCCTAATTTATGTTGTTATATTTAAAACTAATGCTATGGATTTGTAGGAAAACTTTCACTGATTGCATGACCAGTATTGAGAGAATGGGCATTTCTGTTCACTTTAATGCTGAACAGAGTTGTAAACTTCAATGTTACAACACTCCTGACTTGAATGAATAGGGCACTTAGTTTTTAATCCCTACTGTATATTTTGTTACGGTTAATAATTTGCCGTGATAAAAGAGTTAAGAGTACCCTTTGAACCAGCAAAATAGAACACAGACAAGTCTAACATATTTAATAATATATTGAACAAACAATGAGCAAGCTACAATGCATGACAAACAGATATCTAGTACAATGAGTCATAAATCTAACATATTTGGTCACAAATATAAAATATCAACTCACCAGAGTCTTGACATTTACAGTGAGAACAGATAAACTCATTGACAGCAGGCAAGCACGGTCAGTCTTGAAATGTTGAGAAACTCGACGATGGCAGACAGAAGTGCATAAATCAAGTCATGTAATAAGTCCAATCTCGCACAACACTACATCAGCGTTTATATAGCTCTTACACAGTTCTCGAGCATTCTAGCAAAGCTAGGCTCCATCATTATCATCTCAGAACGATATGGAATCATGTGGAACACACAGCATGACGAGTCAACAACTTGCCAAGGGAGGCAACTCTGAAGCGCTATCTCTAAAGGCGTACCGCTACAAATACTATTGCCATTGAACATATATGATGCGAGATGCGAGCCAAAACCCACACTCAAAACTTTAAACATTTGTGACCCATAACAACTATCACCCAATGAATGATAATACAAATTACAAAAAACATTCTCTCATAACAAAAGTTGAAATGATAACAACTATAACATGTTTGGTATGTATGCTTTGTGTGATGCAGGATGTCTACCTGGTGTACATCCTCAACGAGCTAGCCGGCAACTCCTTCATCATATTCTGCAGCACCTGCGCCAATACACAGAGAGTCGCGCTCATGTTGCGTAACCTTGGCATGACGGCTGTCCCCCTGCATGGACAGATGAGCCAGGTAAATACCTTTCTGTTTCAACTTTGGGTTTGTTTGTTTTGAAGTGGTTGATATACAGAAACATTTATACTGTTTAGCTCAATATTTCATTGAGAAAAAAAATCATGGTGACTGCCCCCTTTGTTTTTGATAGAGAATCCATAACACAGTGTAAGTTTGATGGTTCCAACCTGGGCCACATTGCTTTGACTGGCACTTATCATTGTGAAACAAGGACTTGTCGTCTTAGAGTCAGTGTGCTGTGTCTGTGTTTACATTAAACTCTGGCATGTAGGCATGTGACCTTGTCCTACCATGTCACTAAAAGTGACAGAAGTTGCCCTTCCAGTCTTAGCTCTCCAGGGGCGGTGGGGTAGCCTAGTGGCTAAAGCGTTGCGCTCGTTACGCTGAAGAACCAGGTTCGATTCCCCAGATGGGCACAATGCGTGAACCACATTTCTGGTGTCCTCCGCCGTGATATTGCTGGAATATTGCTAAAAGCGGCCTAAAACTAAACTCACTCATTCACTCACTTTAGCTCTCCATCCTTTTTCAAGCAGACGTCATGTCCTATACGAATGAGACACACAGTTTTCAAGAAGTTTTGTCCAATATTAAAGAGTATTTGAACAGTTAGTCCAGTTGTCAGGGGCCACAGGAGAGCTAGAAGTTGGTGAGTCAGTAATTAAGCATACAACTTCATGCATAACAACTTCTTGTTTATTGGTGACGTTTTGGTGTCGATTCTTACACTTTAAGCTTGATAAAGGTGTAAGGATCTACACCGAAACATCTTTCTATGCAATATGCAAGAAGTTGTATCCATAAAGTTGTATGCTCTATTGGTCACTGGAGAGGTAGAGGCCATAAGACAAGTGGTAGGTACTAATGATTGGTTTTAGGTTTGACAAGTTTTGGCAGCAACACAGTCATGCACACCAGTAATCTTCAACATAATGCTTCACCATCTAATGATTCTATGACCATGTTTACAATTCAGTGGTCAAACCACACTAGAAAGCATAAAATAATGTACAACCCCTGGGTATATGTTTCATAATATGGTGTTTATTTTTAGACAAAAAGACTGGGTGCCTTGAACAAGTTTAAGAGTAAAAACAGGTCCATCCTGATAGCCACAGATGTAGCCAGCAGGTAAGTGGCCGTCTACACCACAACTGAAGCCAGTCTGAACCTCATGGGGACTCCAGGGCTGTGGGGTAGCCTAGTGGTTATGGCGTTGACTTGTTACACTGAAGACCCGGGGTTCGATTCACCACATGAGTGCAATGTGTGAAGTCCATTACTGGTGTCCCCCACTGTGGTATTGTTGAAATATTGCTAAAAGTGGCATAAAACCATTCTCACTCACTCACTCACTCATGGGGACTCCAAGTTATAGTTGGTCCCCAGCAAGATCTGATGGTGATAAGAGAAGACCTAATTGATGGTCAGACATTGGTGATTTAGCTGATGGGTTGCCAAGACAACCTAATGACTTGATGTTTGCTCACACCATCAATCACTGGATTGGTTGATTGACATTTGATTATCAGCAGTTTGCTGAGTGTACTGTCATGAAAGTGGAGTTCATTGGTAGCCCTTAATAAACCTACAACAGTCCCTGTTCCCTTCCTTCAACCTACTTAAAATGGGTAGTCCTTGTTAGGAGCGGGCAACTCTTTTGGTAGTGTAAATAACATCCGTGCTTTTTTAATGATTCCAGCTCTCTGATTGGGCAGTTTGGTGGGTGATGGTATGTTAGACCCCAAGATCCTCATGCTTATAACTTGATCTGGATGTTTAGGTGGTCACTGTATGAGTCATCGTCTCAATGATGTGTATGGCTGTTTATGCTGTCAACCACTAGTTTGAACCTGTGCTATCGTCTACCACATGTCACGATGTAGATGAAGACATGAACTAACACAGCATACCCTCATGATCTTTCTCTGTTGCAGAGGTCTTGACATCCCTCACGTTGATGTCGTCATCAACCTCGACATCCCCACCCACTCCAAAGACTACATCCACCGTGTGGGCAGGACAGCGAGGGCGGGGAGATCAGGAAAGTCAATAACCTTTGTGTCACAGTAAGTTCATGTTACTTCTGAATCCAAAACTGACAATGTTTTTTTTTAATACAGTTTTATAAATAAGATACAAAAATATGATTTCTTCTATAATTCTTTCGAATTTCATGCCAGTCTACAAAATACAAATAAGAGTAACAGATATCGGTCAAGAGAAGGTTATTACCTTTTATGCATGTAAAACACCTTCTTCATATGAATGTAAGTGTTGTTTCTTGTTCATTAGCTGGTATAGAATTCTATATACAGTGTTGTTTTCTATCATGCTTGCTATAAAAGGCGACTATGCTTGTCGTAAAGGCGACTAACGGTGTCGGGTGGTTGGAGACATTTTTCGGAAGGTGCTTCAGTCGAAATAGAACCTAAGGAATATGATTTTTAACTGGATCCCAGAATACCATTGCTGTATTATGTTGTGCAACGATATAATCAGGCTGTAGTGTACTGACAAAATGCCTGCAGCAAAATATTAATGTAACATTAGAAAGTAGGTAACTGTGTGAATCTTGTAGACAAACCACTAGATTAAAAGGCATGGCTTATCACAGTTTATCACAATAATTTAGTTTTTAATGTTTGAGGAAGAGCAACCTTCAAGCTGCTGTTGTTTGCTTCATGCTCTGTTGTTAGTCATCCATGAAAGTCCAGTGTTAAGGGAAGGGAGATAACTCAAATAGTCATGTGTGATTAGTACTGTGCCCAAGAAACTGAACCAGCCCTCACTTGTTAAATATGCATTGTGAGAAGAAGGTCCTGAAATTTTATAGACACAGTTCGCAGACTTCTTTGTTGCAAAATATCTCCACCGTTTATAAACTCAACTGATTGGTCTTCAGCAACCCATGCTTGTCGTAAGAGGCGACTAACGGGATCGGGTGGTCAGGCTTGCTGACACAGTGTGGTAAACAACAAACCAGCCAACTCAGTGGACTCTGTATTTTCAGACCGCACACCATATAGCTGGAATATTCAGGCTCGGAGTGTACCGTTAAACAACAAACCAGCCAACGGTAGTAACCCTTTGATGAGATTAGGTCCAAATGATGTAACAACACAATTCGCCTGTGACTCGAGATTATTCAGAAACGGAAGTGTTAATCAGCATCTAGTTAATCAGTGAGTGGTGCGTAACACTTACCTAGAGTAATTAATACATGTAGTGGGCAGTGTGACTGTAAAAACAAGCAAGTGTTTACATTTTGTTGATTCGCGGGTATTGACTCCCGAGATTATTCAGAAACGGGAAGTGCCAATCAGTTTCTTGTTAATTAGTGAGTGGCACGTGTCACTTACATAGAGGCTAATCGTTTGATGGCGGGTATCGTTCGAAAGCTCTGAACATCAACAATATCACTGTACTCTTGCCGAGAGTATTTTCACATTTGTAAGAAGCGATTTTATTGGATAAAGATTGGTTTCTTACGACGCTTTTTCACTACAGTCTGCTTATAAGGGTCGGATTGGTCAAAATCAGACACATTGACCTAAGCAGCCAATCATATTATGGAAATGGATACCGTCAACGAAAACTTTTAGACGAAGGTTTTTGGGTAAAATAATTCTACATGTATTCTGAACATATTAAGCAAGACATCGCTACCTATACGTAAATTATGGAACTTATTGGGCATATCGTGCTAGGTTATGGCCTAAGACAAAAATGCTTCATGTATACATTTTTGCATTAAGCATAGTGTCCGGGCGTCAAGACGGAGGCGGCAAAAGCCGAGATGTTACGCTAAGCTGCGAAGCATAAACAAGAATCGTTGTTTTCAATAACATTGCTAAAAATAGTTTATAATATTAATTCTGCCGATAATATATGATCAGTTGAAATTTAATAAGAGTTTTCAGACATTATTATTTGAATGAATCAACATGAATGTGCATTCAGACACTGCCTTGTTTCTTATTCAAACACTACACTGTACAATGATTTCTGCTGTTGTACCATTACAGGTTCTCTATCTTAGAGCACAGCCAAAGACTTGAATTCCCATATTGCTCATTGTATAACATGGAGATATGAGGCAAACAACAACACTCTTTGTTATATATCTGGGTAGCCTACTGGTTAAAGTGTTGGCTTGTTACACCAAAGACCTGTGTTCGATTCCCCACATGGGTAAAATGTATGAAGTTAATTTCTGGTGTCCCCACTGTGAGGTGAGGTGAAATATGGCTTAATATCAAGCATCCACCTGTGTGACTGCTATTAGTAGTCTGGATGAAAGCCAATTTATGAAACTAGCCCACTGTGACACTTTGCCATAGTTTACGTGGAGACCCCACTCAGAAACAGTTGATGACGTGTAATCATCCAGACCTTATCCTCCTGATGCCGAGTACCCTTTCAAAAATATTTTACGATCATATGACCAGGATAACACCCCACTGGCCACTATTCTCAAGGCGTACACACTGTCTATTGGCAGTGATACAATACTCTGTAAGAAAATAAAGTGTATCGGTTTTGAGAACCTTATTGGTATATTATTTTATTACTTACAAGGGCGAAAATATCGGGGTTCATATTTTTCATACGATGCCCTAAGGCAAAATATCACTTTGTCATGGTGATGTGACATCATGAACAATGCTATGACATCACGTTTCTTCTATGACGTTGTGTTTTACATGCAGCAACGGTGGGTAGCCAGCCTATGTTTGAAAGCAGATTTGGGTGTATTTTCCTCAATTTAACGACTTTGGTAATAAATAGAACATTATATTCGTGCCCATTTCATACTATAATTACGACACTCGTGCCTAAATCTCGGTTTGTCCCTCGCTCTCTCTCAGGAAATACCAACATCTAGGCACTTGTGTCGTAAACATAGTATGATATGGTCACTCATATAATATCCTCTATATATGTCACTTGACCCAAAGCAAACACCCATTAAACATGAGTATTTGCAGGGCCTGCATGTACACGTTTCTTCACACAGTACAGCTGGGAAAATGGATACCCCAGTGAGTATATGCATTGTTTGACAGATACGATGTTGAGCTGTACCAGCGTATCGAGCACCTAATCAACAAGAAGCTTCCGCTGTACAAGACGGAGGAGGAGGAGGTGATGATGCTGATGGAGAGAGTCAGCGAGGCGCAGAGACACGCCAAGATGGTCAGTTGCAGGAATATTCCCCCTGCTCCTCCAACCTCCAGCAGGGCAGTGGTGTAGCCTAGTGGTTAAAGAATATTTTTGTCATGCTGTAGACCTGGGTTTGATTCCTAAAATGTACAATGTGAATGTGTGAAGCCCATTTCTGGTGTCCCCCTCAGTGATATTGCTGGAATATTGCTAAAATTAGATAAAACCATAGTCACCCACTCACTCTGACCCCCAGCACCGAGGTTACATAGCTTCTGCTAGTGGGCAGACTAATGCTATTCACAGACTGTTAGTTGTTTAGAAAAGACAAAATACTTTTGTACATGAGCCACGATCAATGTGAATTTAATGTCTGATTTTAATTAATGTCATAATATATACATACATATCAAATTGGAAACTTGATATTACTTAACACATTTGGAATGCTGTGGTAGGCACTTGAATGGCTCACATATTCTGAAATTGTATTGGAATTGCGTAAGCTCACAACAGAGCCAAACGTAACCCCTCAGGGTTGTATGTTGTCTGTTTTGGTTAGATTTAGAAATAATCTAAAGTTGTGACTGCTAAAAAGTCACATGATCTCAGTATGAGTGAGTGAGTGAGTTTAATTTTGCGCCGCACTCAGCAATATTCCAGCTGTATGGCGGCGGTCTGTAAATAATCGAGTCTGGACCAGACAATCCAGTGATCAACAGAATGATCATCGACCTGCACAATTGGGATACAATGACCAGTGAACCAAGTCAGCGAATGAGCATCGACCTGCACAATTAGGGGATCAATATTCTAACGGACCTTCAGGGGTATGACATCAGTTTGATCTGATGGCGTCGATGGAGTCATTTGTAAACAATAACCCTGTGGTGATTTTGGGTTAACATATCAATCAATACAAGGTAACTAAATGTAGGTAATGAGAATCAGATTCATTCTCACGATTTCCACCAGTCAGTCATTGCCCACTCAGACTTTCTCCGATTGGATATTCTCAGTATGAAATATATATTGATAAATAGACTAGACAGATGTTAATTCAGTCCAGCTATATGGCATTCAGTCTTCAGATAGTCTTTCATACAGATCCATTGTATATTTTATAAAACAATATTTACACCCCTCATACAATTCTCAGCTCTAGCAGCCCATGCATATTCTATTCTCAGCTCTAGCAGCCCATACATATTCTATTCTCAGCTCTAGCAGCCCATACATATTCCATTCTCAGCTCTAGCAGCCCATACATATTCCATTCTCAGCTCTAGCAGCCCATACATATTCCATTCTCAGCTCTAGCAGCCCATACATATTCCATTCTCAGCTCTAGCAGCCCATGCATATTCCATTCTCAGCTCTAGCAGCCCATACATATTCCATTCTCAGCTCTAGCAGCCCATACATATTCCATTCTCAGCTCTAGCAGCCCATACATATTCCATTCTCAGCTCTAGCAGCCCATACATATTCCATTCTCAGCTCCAGCAGCCCATGCATATTCCATTCTCATAGCAGCCCATTCTATTCTCAGCTCTAGCAGCCCATGCATATTCTATTCTCAGCTCTAGCAGCCCATACATATTCCATTCTCAGCTCTAGCAGCCAATGCATATTCTATTCTCAGCTCTAGCAGCCCATACATATTCCATTCTCAGCTCTAGCAGCCCATACATATTCCATTCTCAGCTCTAGCAGCCCATACATATTCCATTCTCAGCTCTAGCAGCCCATACATATTCCATTCTCAGCTCTAGCAGCCCATACATATTCTATTCTCAGCTCTAGCAGCCCATACATATTCCATTCTCAGCTCTAGCAGCCCATACATATTCCATTCTCAGCTCTAGCAGCCCATACATATTCCATTCTCAGCTCTAGCAGCCCATACATATTCCATTCTCAGCTCCAGCAGCCCATGCATATTCCATTCTCAGCTCTAGCAGCCCATACATATTCCATTCTCAGCTCTAGCAGCCCATACATATTCCATTCTCAGCTCCAGCAGCCCATACATATTCCATTCTCAGCTCTAGCAGCCCATGCATATTCTATTCTCAGCTCTAGCAGCCCATACATATTCCATTCTCAGCTCTAGCAGCCCATACATATTCCATTCTCAGCTCTAGCAGCCCATACATATTCCATTCTCAGCTCTAGCAGCCCATACATATTCTATTCTCAGCTCTAGCAGCCCATACATATTCCATTCTCAGCTCCAGCAGCCCATACATATTCCATTCTCAGCTCCAGCAGCCCATGCATATTCCATTCTCAGCTCTAGCAGCCCATACATATTCCATTCTCAGCTCTAGCAGCCCATACATATTCCATTCTCAGCTCTAGCAGCCCATACATATTCCATTCTCAGCTCTAGCAGCCCATGCATATTCTATTCTCAGCTCTAGCAGCCCATGCATATTCCATTCTCAGCTCTAGCAGCCCATGCATATTCTATTCTCAGCTCTAGCAGCCCATACATATTCCATTCTCAGCTCTAGCAGCCCATGCATATTCCATTCTCAGCTCTAGCAGCCCATGCATATTCCATTCTCAGCTCTAGCAGCCCATACATATTCCATTCTCAGCTCTAGCAGCCCACACATATTCCATTCTCAGCTCTAGCAGCCCATGCATATTCCATTCTCAGCTCCAGCAGCCCATACATATTGCATTCTCATCTCTAGCAGCCCATACATATTCCATTCTCAGCTCTA